TATATATATATATATATATATATATATATATATAATAAGGGATTAACTATTATAACATGTTAAAATATATTAAATGTATAAAAATACCTTTTTCACTAATTGCTATTTAAATTTTTGTTTTGTTTTTTTTTACAGCTTTTGAAACTCTCAATGCGCAAAGAAATGGACTAGAATTCATAAAACTTGTAAAGGAATTGAAATCGGTTCATGAGCCCAAGCCCAACTTGGAATGTCAAGGTTCCTTAGTCATTTCTCCCTACCTTCTCTTTATTATACCAAATGCATATTAAAATGAGCTAACACTTGTTATATTTAAAATTCAAAAATATAGATTTGACTTTAATTTAGTAAACCTCTTAGCTATAATTATTAAGAGACTTGTAAAATTAAATTAAATTTTGAATATGACAATTATCACTTATCTAATTATGCACTTAAGAAAATGGAGAGAAGATGTAATGGAGATGAGTCAAATTCCTTAAATTACATAATTTTCATGGTTAATTCAATAATTGTCATAATTATATATGAGTAAGTGTACACATAGGTTGAGTTAGCTTGATTCTTACATTAAAAAAATCAAATCAAGCCATTGATTATATCTATACAAAAAATCATATAAGTTTTTGTTTGGACAATTAATGTTAAAAAAAAGTATATTCTAATATTAGAATAAAGCTTGTGCTTTGGCCAATGTATTAAAATTCTTTTAAGGGAAAAATGTTTAGTTTCTGAAAAGCAATTTTTGTCACTACAAAAAAACTCTTATTTTCTTTTTCTTAAACGCTTGGCCAACCACCTTAATTCTCTAAAACATGTGACTTTGTAATAATAACTAGAGAAAATACATAAAAATTTTCTAAATTTGATCGGATAATTTAATTTAATATTTAAATAACATAAGCGCTTAAATACTCTCCTTAATATCTTTGAAGTGAATTAAATGCAACCCTAAGGGATAATGTGGCAAAGAGAGTGAGTTTACTCACCTAATAGCGTGTGAAGGAATTAAAAAAATATTATAAAATCATATACATTTTATTTTTTTATAGTTTAATATATAATTAATATTTTAAATATTATTTTCTTAATATATTAACTTTTACTAAACTATATGAATTTTTTTATCGGCCCAAAAAACTTTTAATTTTTTGTCTTCCCCAATAAGCTTTTTCTCCATTGAAGCATCCTTTTTTCCTTCAACTCTATCAACTACTTCAATTTCACCATCTCATTAGTAATCCACAAAATCCAAAATCAACATCTTATTATAAACGTCAAAATCACACATGTAAATTTTTATCGATTTTCATTGGAGCTAAAAAAAATGTTGGTTCACCGAATAAGACGAAGAAAAAAAGAGAAATAGGAGTGTGGTAGAGCTCGTTGGAAAACACTAAGAGTAAAAAATAAACAATTAAAAGCTAGAAATGGTGAAGAAGGAATAAGAAAGAAGTAAAAGGGGTGGGTCGGGGATGGGCATAGGGGGCAAAAAAATAGATCCACATTTTAAATTTGATTTTAGAAAATGCATTTGTAATTATTTACTTAGTGTAAATTAATTTTAAGAAGTGTTAAAGAAAAATTTATTACAAAATTAATTAATGCCGTAGTGTTGACATGGCTATGTTGTGACACTTACATGACTATGATGTGGAAAGTAAGAGTGGTATAATAATCTCAGGGTGATTTTTATGTTAAGGGGGTATTCAAACGCTCGTGTAATTTAAGTGTTAAAGTAAGTTATCCGATCAAGTTCAGGAGAGGGAGATTATGTGTTTTCTCTAATAGCTAAAAACATTTTTAAACTCATTCAACTCCTAGGAAATTATCTTGATAGTTCAATTGGTTGATTACATAAACTTTCACATTATTGGTGATGATTCGACTTCCCACCTTGTAATCTCTTCTCACGTTTTTCCTTCCCTGCCCCCCACCCCCTTCCCCCAATAACATACCCAGTGAAGTCTCACTAAGTCGCGAAGGTAGATAAAATGGTTACGCACTTCAATATGTTATCAAAGCAAATCGACGTCTTGATTACACACATCAATATGTTATCAAAGTAGATCGACATCTTCATTACACACTTCAATATCAACTCCGTTTGCTATTATTATAACACATATTAGAGTACATTATTCTTGTTCTTAATTTCTTTCTCTCGTTATAATTAATTAATTATCTGTATATGCAGGAAAACTAATGTGGCCAGAACTTATTGGTGTACCAGCACAATATGCTAAGGGAATAATTGAGAAGGAAAATCCACTTACTCATGTTCAAATAGTATTGAATGGTTCTCCAATCACAACTGATTTAAGTTGTAATCGAGTTCGAATTGCTGTAAACATCTTGGATTATGCTGTATCAATGCCTGTGGTTGGTTAATTAATGGATTATTGAAGTAAGAAGCCACATGTAAAAATATAATTAGGGTTCATGTATGTTAATCATAATGTATCCATGTACTCCTACTATATATAATGGAATAAATAAGTGTGGCTTAATTAAACGTAGTCTCCTAATATAATTCCGTTTACATATTGTGCTTTAACTCGTTTATTTTAATTTGTTTGTTTTATTTTGTCACGATTGGGTTCACCGGATTGTGCAGGCACTCACTCTTACACCTAAGTAGAAGAACCTTTATGCCATTTGGAAAAAATCGAGGCCGAAAAAACTTTTTTGTAATACTAGGATTTTCTCAACCTTGTCCAGATTTGGTAAAATTTAGAGTTATCAAGGTGTAGGAAAATCTGGTAGCAATCGGGTGTTGTAAATGTGAATTTGATTACATAAATGGATAGATGACTCGTTAAGGAATTCATACGACTTTATGGAATCGAATTTGGATAAGTAGATCATCGGAAATTGATTTTGGCGTTAACAGCATTTTCTGAGCATAGTGAATTAAGAGGGTGTTGTAAAAAGAGAGGAGAGAAATTCCTTTAAAGAGCTCACTGCCTCGCCTAGTGCCACTGCAGCAACGCCTCTACAGCTAGCTGGATGGTGTAGCGGATGAGGCGAAGAGAAAATTATAGGATTTTAAAGATTTTTCAAGATGGAGCTCAATGGTTCACTCTGTGCCGCTGCAGCGATGCTACAACGGGAAGGCAGGTTATAAAATCATAAATAAAACTGTTAAACGGCCTTATTTTATACTTTTCAACTTTTTGAGATAAGAGATGACCCCTAGTCTATTCCAACTCGTTTTCCACCATTAATTGTTGAAGCTAGAGATAAGTTTTTCACCCCCGAATTTGTTTTCGATCACTAGAACATTTTAGAATGAGTCAATATTGATGGGGAAGGATTTCTTGATGAATCATTTGATGGAATTAACCCTAAATTGACTAGTAGGGGTCATGAGTTTGGAACAAGGGTTCATAGTTTGTTAGTATTCCGGGACTTTAGTGTTTCTTTATTGATTCCCGTATATAAATTGTTGCTTGTAGACCACAAACAAGCGGAACAAATTTGGAAAGGGAATGACCAAGTTGTCTAGGGTTTCAAGCTTGTTTCAAGGTAGGTGATGGTTATGATTCTATGATTTTGTGATATATACTTGTTTTGTTTTGTTGTGATACTTGTATATGTATGCATGTCATGAGACATATGAATATCGATATCATGAAATCATGACTTGGATTGCGATCGGCTGTCACGTTTCGGCATTCTAACTTGGATCTGATTGCCACATTCCGGCATGCTAACTGGGATCAATTTCCACGTTTCGGCATAAAAATTGAATCAGATTACCACGTTTCGGCATACTGACGATTTGACTTTCGGTTCCAGAGAGGACCAACTATGTGTTGAAGCATATGAATTATGATGTTGATTCTTATGATAATATTGAATATGTTGATACTTTTGCATGTATTATAATGTTATAACTGCTTGTTTATGTTACACTAGTGGGATAGCGCGTGATCCTATCATTACACGATAGTTGTGTACTGATTCTGCACTTGCTTTTATTTTTATTGAGTACGGGGCATCTTCACGCGACTGTTGACAGACCTCGCTTAGGAGATCGGTGATCGCTTCGAATTCAAGGGTGAGCCACATCGTTCGGGCTGCCATGGAATTCTCTTTAGTATATGTCCACCATTTTCAGACCTAGAACTTGTTTTAGTTAGATAGATAATCACTAGAAATTCTTGTTAGATTTAGTTCTCGTTTCTAGTTTTATTACATTGACTTTCAGATTGTAGGTTTATCTTCCGCATTGTTAGTTAGTTATTAGACCTTTATTTAGTAATGGAACCTTGTCTTTAGTTATTTAACTTACTTCTGTAACTTAAATGCCTTAGTTTTTAGATTTCTTGTTGTAGTTGGTTGCTAGTAGTGGTTCTCCACCGAATTGTAAAGTGGATGCCAATCACAATGGTTTAAATCGTAATACTAACGATAGAGTGATGAGTCAAATACTTTTCAAATGAAGGACAAAAATACTCTATATAAAATAGAGATATTTTTTATCCTGTTTCATTATCTTACAATGTTTATAAAATAGGTTCACTCTCGATCAGTACCAAAGACTCTCAAATATAATTCATAAAATCTAAATACTATATGTTTTTTTTATCCAATTGGTGACCATTAAGTTTGATGGTTGCTCTATTTTAGTCCTGGTATATATATAAAAATGTTTTTGTTACCTAAATTCTTCTTATTAATTTCTTATAAGAATACAAAAAATAAGGAAATGATTTTGTCAATTTCTTAATAAAATGTCAGAGATATCTAAAGAGTAAATGCATGGTTGGTAGCAAATATTGTATTCACACGCAACTTAATAAATTGAAATGCATAATAACTAAGGAGCAAATATCAATATTACAAGTACTTACAATTGTAACACATTTTTTATGTGTTCTATATATGGACAAAATGACTCATAAATATAAGAACATGACATTAGGGGACCATAGCTTTTTTACTTTTGATATCATTTATTTTTTGTTTTTCTTTATGTTTCCTTCCATCCATCATCAAAAAAATTCAAACATTCACCTAATGAAATTATTATTAAATTTTCATCAAAATAGTTCATGGTAAATATTTCTTATGATAATTCATCATTAGATAATAAAATAATATCTATACCACTTTTGTGACGCTCTCATTTTAAGACAAGAAATTCTACATCGATAAAAACATAAGAGAGATATTGAGTTTATAAGTAGAGTTTTAAAAATAGCAAAAATAATAGACATAATAAGGATTTGTAGCTATAATTTCAATAATTACACTCCATATATAGCTATAGTTTGTTTGCTATGGAGATTGTTATTTGTATATTTCTGTCAGTTTGTATATTTCACTTGAGAATAAACAAATAAGAAAATTATATACAAATTTTGTATAATACATTTCGAAATTTTTCATAACTCTGTTTGTCTATTTCACTTGCCAATATACAAACATGATAATTTACTATAAAATTTTCATAAATCATATACAAATAGTTAAAGTAAGCATATACAAAATTCTATATCTACACCATCAGAAACCGAATTATACACATTCTAAATTATATAAATCAGACAAATTATACAAATCAACCGAATAAAAAGAATTAGAAAAATTGTAGCGACAAATTATAATTTTAGTCATGTAAGGCATCAAATATGTTCTCCTTCTCAGGTGATATTTTATGTTTTAAAGAATATTTTTTCTTTATATTGACAGGAGAAAGAATTGCATTATATAATACTTTTTAAACATTGAAAAAAGGCTTGAGGTCGAGAGTAATAAATTACGCAACGTAACTTTTACTTAAATAATATTTATAAATGCATGCATGGTTATATCAATAGCAAACTTACCTATAATTATAAATCACATCTTTGTGTATATAGTATATACAGACAAAATGACTCATTAATAAAATCATTTTATAGGGACCTTAATTTTTTAATATCTCTTTCTTTTTTTCTGCTTTTTATTTGTGTTTTTCTATTGGTGAAGTGTATATTATTCAGATAAGATTTATTTAAAAAGATTAAATTCACGCGAATTCAAAATCTAATCACTTTTGTATATCTATTAAAAACCTTTTAAAAATATCATTATAGGTACATGAAAAGATAAATATGTATTCTTTCTTGAATTAGAGATTTTGAATTTAAGTACTGAATATAAAAGAATTTTCAATATAAATTTATATTAATTAAACTTCAAAACAAATATAAAATACCAAACTAAAAAAAAAAGATGAACAATAATAATGATATACAATTTAGAAGAATACGAGATCTAGCTAGCCTTATTTTAAAATAAAGAAGTCAAATTACCGATAAATTAATTTTCTTTTGTTTCACCAAGGGCAATTTTATTGATTTTTAAAAAAAAAAATTGAAAGAAGTTTCTCTTTTAGAATTTTGAACAACATTAATTTTTTTTTAAATCTAAAAATTTATTGAAATAAAATTATTTCCCATTTAAAAGAAAATAATAAAAACTCGGCGTGATGCTCCAACCTTTACGGTTCTATTTATTCATCAAACATAATTCAGATCTTCTATAATAATCTCCCATTAAAGAAAATCATATAACTATAAAATATAAATATATTTAATCCTTTTGTTATACTTTAAAATTATATATACTCTAATCATTAATTTTTTGAATTGTGTATAGTATATACTCTTAAAACTAACAAATGTACATATAGCTTCATCTAAATAATTTATCGATTTTTTTAATTTTTTTACCCAAAATTTAATTTTAATAAATTTATCATAAATTTTATTTTGTTCTGAAATTCATTAAATATATATGTGTTTAAATTTGAATTTGGAACTCATGTATTATTACTTGAATTCATTAGACAAAATATTTCACTCAATAAAAACATTTCGTAGCTAGGGACCATAACATCTCTATTTTTGCTTGTAAATCTATTTTTAAAAACGTGTCATGTCATTTTCTGAAATTTCTCCACTTTTTACTTTAAGATAAAAAAATACTTTTCAATATTTTTAATCAAATATTTTGAGAATGTATCATTAATTATTGATGACTGAATTACTCGATACCTATCATAAAATTTATTATAAAATTGACCCTACCCCTTACTAACTCCCTATAAATATCGATGCGTAACAAATGAGTGTTACACATCACACAATTAAATTAAATAAAAGCAAAATGGAGGGAAAGAGTATGCTCAAGTTATCTCATGTTCTTGCTTTCTTGCTTCTTGCATCACGTATGTAATTCTCTTTTTTAGTCTGATTAATTTAAATTTATACTGATTAATAAGGCTTATTTAACGGGCAAGCCTCCTTAACATAATTTTTTTTTCTATTCCAAAGATTCGTATTTAAAACTTTTAGCTAAGAGTGAGAGATCTTAATCATTTCACCACAATCTTTATTAGTTCTCAAGTACATGGGCGGAACTAGTTTGGGGCTTCGGCGGAATATTATACTATTATTTATATATGATTAAAATTATTTTTTATATATACATAGTATCTTTACTATTAAATGTTACATTGTT